GGCAACAACTTGGAGAAATCTCAAAGACAATATGCCAAGTGAAGGAAGCTAGTCTCAAAAAAGCTACACGCTGACCTTCCTCCATATCTCCTTTCAGGGTGGGAGGTCCGTCCCTTGGAGAATGTAACCTTCTAATAAAATCTAATAAAATTACTCTTTTATCCTCAAAAAACCCTCCAAAACCCCAAACCCTTCATGCTGTTTAATTCTATTTAAACTCAGAAAAACCAAGGAGTTGTGCTGCCAACCTAAAGACATGTGGTTTGAATTCACCATCCTGCTCCAGAGGAAAAAGATGGACAGTTTCCTCTCATATGATTTACTGCTTCTGAAAATAGGCTAGACCACATCATCTATGGGTCTATTCTAATGCAACAAAATACACCACCATAAGAGTGATAAGAACAGATCAGTGGTAGATGGGGGTTTTTAGTGGGATGAAGCTGTGCTTAAAGAATAGTAGGAAGGAGTCTTTTGGGGTTGTGGAGCTCCTGTGTTGTGGTTGTAGTGTTAGCTAAAGAGAAACTATGCATGTGTTAATATTTGTAGATTAGCATACCAAAATAAAAGTCAGTTTTGCTATGTGATAATTTCAAAAGTAAAAATATAGTTAGAAAAAATTGATAAAAATAATACTGCTATGAATCAGAGCTAGACAGTGACTAAAGATGACAGAAGAATTGAAGCCTTTGAATTCTGGTGCTGGAGAAGAATCTTGAACATATCATGAACTGCCAAGAAGACAAATAGGTCTGTCTTGGAGAGAATGAGACCAAGTTTCTCCTTGAAGGCTAGGACTTTGAAGCTCTGTCTCACATACTTTGAGATAAACTAGTGAGATAAACCATTTTATTATATTTTTATTTAATGACATAGAATGCATATTCCCAAAAAATATGAAAAGAGAGGATTAAAAAACTATACACCATATTTTCTGGTATAGTAGAAACACATTATCCTTTAAATCACTATCCAAAAATAACTCTTTGTCCACACACAGTCATTATGGAGGGGAAGCCAGGCAATTGGGGCAACTGCGCTTAAATCCCACTTGGCTCCTGTTTGGAGTTACAGCAGCTTGAATCCTTTTTGGGACTGATGACTTCTTTGAACTAGGCACTAGGGGTTGTCACCTGCTTAGAAATTCTGACAGCTGATTCAAGCCAAAAGAAAGAATTTATTTTCTCAGGAAAACAAAACACATTTTGAAGGCTATGAGGATAAATTGAAGATGTTCTTGTTGTTTGTTAAATGCCGTCGAATCATAGAAGACTCGTAGAGACCTTATGAACAAAAGACCTGAACACTTGTGTAAGTTTCATTGTTTCTCCAAGTTCATGGAGTTTCTGGAGGCAAGCTATTTTGGAAGTGGATGCCACTCCTGCTTCCAAGCTTGTTTTAATCGGGGAGCTCGACCAAATACTGTCCACCATGGAAGTGGATGCCACTCCTGCTTCCAAGCTTGTTTTAATCGGGGAGCTCGACCAAATACTGTCCACCATGGATAACCATTATTGCATTTGACACATCACAGCAACCAAGAATTACCTCTGTACAACAAATGGACCGACCAGTGCTATACCGCTTAGAAAAAATGTTTGACCAAAAACAATTAAAACCAGGCCTGAGGGCTGCAGATTAAAATCACCCACCTTTGGCTTGGTAGCATAACTTTCTATCCACTAGGCCAACAGAGCTCTTTCTATGACTCACAGCAATTCTATCACCAACAGATCTAACCTCTGCCCTATCCTAAGCCATCCCCACAATCCAAGACATGTTCAAGCCCATTGGTACAGTCACCATATCAATCCATCGTGTTGAGGATTTTCTTCTCTGACCTTCCAGTTCTCATCATGATGTCATTTCCCAGGGATTGGAAACTTAATTGTTGTTTGTTGTTGTTAATTTGGAGATAGTGACATTTTCTAAATCTATGAATGCTGATGATGGAAATATCAACTATCTGAATGAGAGATTTATTAACCTGACTAGAAGTCGTGCAAGTGGTTTTTAGAGACATTTTGTTATTGTTGTTAGTATCTAGAAATAGAATTGCCAGAAATAGACGTATGTTTAACTTTATTTTTAGTTGAAAACAACAAAAATTTGTTCTCTCACAGTTCTGTAGATTGAAAGTCCAGAAGCTTTATAATGTTCAGTGTACAGTTCTCTTTTTTGTTTGTTTTTTTTTAAAAATTTATTATTAATTT